ATCTATCTATCTATCTATCTATCTATCTATCTATCTATCTATCTATCATCTATTTATTTTCTATGCCACCCATCTCCCCTCCAAGAAGACTCTGGGCTCCTGAATCAGCATCTCAATATATTTCCCCAACTTTTTTCTTGTAATGTCTTTGCATATTTCATGGCATATAGTGAAAATACATTTTGTTATGCTGAATACGTTCAAATTGTAGTATGTTTTTAATGAAAGTTTGTGATAGCAAGCTGCTTTCTTCATTGTGTTGTAAGGTGTTAATCTCGTGTAATCAGAAATAACACATGGTGCAAACATAAGCAAGTTTACTCAAAAAGAAAAATGTATTGTTTCAAAAGCATGCTAAACTAATACTGCGTTCCCATGTAGTATTCCATAGCTTCTCATTCTCCAGATGGGTCTGAATACAAATTAAGACTATGATGTCTGGGCTAAAAAAATTTCTGGCCAACCACTAGACAGCTGCAAACAGAAAGTTTTCTGTGTTTCTGCACTGCTGCACTGCAGATTTTTGTAGCCTAGGTACAGAAGCTCTATTACAAATCCCATAATGTTTAGCAAACAGTCTGGACAATCAACTCAGTATTAGTTGTGGAACAGTAGTGGGTTTCAAATTTTTTTACTACTGGTTCTGTGGGTGTGGCTTGGTGGGTATGGCAGGGGAAGGAATATTGTAAAATCTCCATTCCCTCCCCACTCCATGGGAAGGTTACTGCAAAATCCCCATTTCCTCCCGTTCAGCTGGGACTTGGGAGGCAGAAAATAGAGAATAGAGGGGGCGGGGCCAGTCAGAGGTGGCATTTACCGGTTCTCCGAACTACTCAAAATTTCCGCTACCGGTTCTCCAGAACTGGTCAGAACCTGCTGAAAGCCACCTCTGTTGTGGAAACTATGGTCTAATAACTCATCCAGAGGATGTGTCTTCTGTCCCATTTTCATGTCATGGGTTCAGGGGGAAAAAATCAAATTGGTTAATCAATGTAAATACTTAAATAAAACTGGAATGGTCTTCTGAATCAAATTGCTATCTGAGTTGAGTTTTCTTAAGGATTGGCAATGCAGCCATAGAGTCTTGTCTGTTTAAAGCAGGAATGCATTTAAGGATGAACTTTGAGGGATGCCATTAAATGTTTGTTTTGGAGAGTGGCACAGGCCTCCCTTTAACAACAGCAACAGCAGCAACCTTCATAAACCAAGCAGAGAATGTCTGCTAAACTGGCCAGAATATTTAAATAAGGATTCCAAATGGAATCTTTGGATGGTTAGTGAAATTTCTCAAACCAACAAGAAAATACGTCCAGTTGCTGTGACTCAACTTCCAGACAATTCTACCTGGATGACTGAGAATCTTCATCAACGTTCCAAATAGATCTTTTTTTCTTTCCCATTGATCAATTTTGAGTAACAATATCACCTTAAAAAGAAGGGAGAACAAGCATCTAGTTCTTTATTTTGAAATTATCTCTTTTTTAAAATAAAACAAATGGAAGTAGAAAAAAGAGAATGAGACAGATCAGATGAGGTGGGATATCAATGAGTAAGGTTGTCCAACATTATTTTATAATAGTTTTTTCTCAACAGTTCCCAGAAACCCTAGTTGAAATTTCCATCCAGCTAAGAATATGCCACAGAAACTAAAGAAAGGCACAAACAGATCCATGCTGTTCAAGCTCTGGCCCTCAGTGATTTGCGAGTAGCATTTGATTCGTTCCTATGGTGAGCCATCATGGCTTTCAGGGAAGTTGGTCCACCATTATTAATCTTCTCATGAAAGAAATACGTTCCCAGAAAACTTTCCAAGGACACACCTTTTGAAAGGCCTGAGAAATACACATTCCCTGAGGTAATCTTGTTCCATTGTTTTCTCTTGGTGAGCAAGAAGGCCCTGCACAACATAAAACAAAGGCAACAACTATATGCTAAGTGATTGTATACCATTCATGCTTGGATGAGTTTAATTAGTTATATTTTCTAGGCCGAAAGCCAAGGGGCCATTCCCACTCCCAGAAAAGTCAACAGAATCACTTAAAAAACACGGCATTTTCATACTTTTGTTCCAAATAACAATACCTTTAGAAATGAACCAACAGACTGTGGCAACATCAAAAATCAGCCCACATATAGAGGTTACTATAACTTGAGTTGACTTTCCACCCTTGTAGCTGAGTTTGTTTTTACTCCAGACCTTTTGAGTCACGGTTTCCAGCATCCAATATTAAGTTTTAGATTTGTCTGGAGATAGACTGTACATTTTTCAATCAAAAATTAAAATACTTTTCATGAAATTAAAATGGACAATTATTTGGAATACTTTCTAACATTTTATCATTTTCCATAGCCATAGCTGTATGAATACTTCAAGAATCATTCTCTGCAAATATTAATCTAAACTAAAATAGATATTGATATATAAAAAACTTGTAAAACAAATATTTGAATACAAATTTAAATGTATATTTAGGTTAGATTTAAATATGGAACATTGTTAGCTAGCTAAAAATACTGCAGGTTAATGGGGAAATGCAAATTATTAAACTGGCACATAATAAACTGATATAATCCTAAAAGGCATTGACTGTTCCATATTTCGTTACAGAGAAAAAAAATCCAAAATCTACAGAGGCAATATTTTAGTAGGCCAAATTGTATGAAATTAAAGGCAACTTTGGAGTTTTAAGAAAGTGGTATTAGGCTCAGGCTGATAGTGGGGAATATATCCAATTGTGCAGTGTCGTTACTAACTGGAGTTATGGGGATCTTTCAGACATGCAAATGAATATCATCCCATCTAAATGTGGTCCCAGAATTTTCTGGGGTATTGAGGTATGCAGAGCTCTTGGCTGAAAGACAAAAGAGAAATCAGGTGAGATAATCTTTATATGAGCAAAACTGGATATGATCTGAATTGTTATTCTCTATCAGTGTTTCTGAACCTTAGCAACTTGAAAATGTATGGACTTCAACTCCCAGAATTCCCTAGCCAACATAGCCCACACATTTTAAAGCTGCCAAGATTGAGAAACACTACTTTAGTGTATTTTTTTAAAAAAAAGACTTATCTAGTATGAGAGTAGGTAGAAATTCTTAGTTTTAGTAAGTTGATGTAATGGCCTCTTTTCTATTTTGCTAGAAAATTAAATTTGGCATTTCTCTGCTTTTCTTCATAGACTATAAGTGAAGAATTACACCCAGCACCAAATAATCTTCACAAATGTACTGCAGTTATTATTTCTCCAGCCTTGTGTGGCTCTTTCTTCTATGTCAAGGGTAAGTTGAAAAATACATTCAACACAAGAGTATATTTATTCAGTTTATTCAGATTTATTCAGTTTATACTTTAATGCAAATCTTCCTAATCTTCAGTTCCTGAACATGAGACCTTTTGAAATTCACTTTATTCTGAATGTTGTGATTCACTTCTCCAATCAAAACATGCATCTAAAATAAATGAATAGAGAAAAGTACATATAAAAATTCATGGGACAGTGAAATACCCATAGAGAAATATATTATATTAGGGAAATTGCTGCTAAAATGTGCACATTATGTCTGTACTATGAAAAATGAGCAGATTGCTGCAAAAGCAGGACAGAGGATTTAGCCTGAAAAAATAAGAAAGTGTGAGAAACTACAGTTGGCCCTTTTTGTTTTCATTTTTTACTATAGGTTCTACATTTAGGCAAGAAAAACCAAACACACAGGTATAGTATAGGGCAGGGGCAGGGGTGAAATCCAGCAGATTCTGGAGAATCGATAGTGGAAATTCTGAGCAATTCAGAGAACCGGTAGCGGAAATTTTGAGTAGTTCGGAAAACCGGCAAATGCCACCTCTGGCTGGCCCCAGAGTGGGGTGGGAATGGAGATTTTGCAATATCCTTCCCCTGCCATGCCCACCACACCACACCCACCAAGCCACACCCAGAGAACTGGTAGTAAAAAAAAAATCGGATTTCACCTCTGGTCAGGAGTCTCCAACCTTGGCAACTTTAAGCCTGGCAGACTTCAACTCCCAGAATTCTCCAGCCAGCAAAGCATTCCAGAGTAAGAACAATGTGGAAAACTCTTTTTCCCCATGGTATAATTGTTTTATTAATAGGAAGATAATAAACTAGTATATCCCAACTCAGGGTGATCCAAACCAACTCTTTGTATCGGGGTGGAGGTATCAGCTCATCAAATGTTCCAGCAGCAGTAGCCCGCTGGACTAAAAATGAAGTATTCCGGCAATTATAATTCTACACATACACACACATTTTGGAATATTATATTTCCAAAGGATGGGGATGACAACTTAGAAGACAATGACTGTACATCTCAGCATGAGTGGACTATCAGGATCCTGGACAAGCTAATGGCACGTACACACCCACCTCCCTGTTCAGGTTCTGTCTGCCAGTTAACAGACATATATATAAGATGAGCTTAATTTTCTCCGGTCACTAACCTTTGCATATGGAAACTGACAGCCATCACTCACGCAAACTCCAGATATGCAGACAGAGAGAGTCTGCAATTCTATAGTTAAGTCCTTGTAGTACATTTAGAGACACACACTTCTGAGTAGGCAGCATAGGATTGCCCAATTCAAATGCCCATTTTCAGGCTGGAGTTCTGTACTTATTTACCTAGCAATACATTTCATGGAAGAATAAACCTTCTCAATGTATATTGAATTTCATCTTTAGCTTATGATGTCATGGAATATTAATAAGGAGTCAGTCCATAATGTTTGCCCACAGAGACATGCTAGTCATTCTTTCTTTTAGCTGGACACAAACATACATGATGTTACAATTTGCAAAAGGCCCATTTTTTCTCTAGATCCAAGGTTCAAGTTTCATACTACCATATCCAGATGACCACTAGACGCCAGAAAAGAGATAAGGTAATTCAAGGATTCCACTTAGTGGTCATGCCTATCTTTGCAACCCAAGCAAGGATGCATAAACTTCATCTCACTCCAATGCATCGCCACTACAATGGGAAGTACAGGCCTATAACTGTGAGATGGAAACTGGACTGACTACAATGTCATCTCTCTTCTGAGCAGGAAGTATAATCGGAATAAACGGTGTATGTAATGTTCTGTGCTTGTGATTTCCCTATTTTCTCTTAAGATGCAAACATCTTTCAAAGGTGACTCCTTTCTATATGCACTCCTGTTAATATTTTCTGTTGTTGTTGACATGGTCTTCTGCACCCAGTCAAAAGAATTTTGCTTCAAGCGACTTTTTTTTTTTTTTTTGAAACCTCTGTTTTTCTAACTTCTCTGCAGGGATAAGAGTTCTTCTTGAGAAAACAATCTAGAGGAAGGCACAGTTTGTTGGCAGCCCAGCTTCTAAGTTACAAATATCTCAAAATAAAAAGTTTTGAAAGGAGACTGAATGTTTCCCAGAAAGAAAGAGTTCTGGTGACTCTGTAGCTTTCAATAGTCATGGCATCAGAGGTGGGTTTCAGCAGGTTTTGACCAGTTCTGGAGAACCGGTAGTGGAAATTTTGAGTAGTTCAGAGAACCGGTAGTAAAAATTCTGACTGGCCCCACCCCCATCTATTCTCTGCCTCCCGAGTTATTTTTTAAAAAATCCCTGTTCCTTATTGTTCTAGCGTGGGAATAACGAGAGGCACAAGCAAGCTAGTGACAACAGCTCTTTAATTCAGGGTGAGACTTCAGCAAAGAACCACAGGCAACAGCCCTCCTTATATACAGTTCTGAAATACCCATTAACCAATCACAAGCATTTGTTGCATTTGAATTTCCTGCACAAAATAGATACATACATAACACTTATTATCATGGACATGTCCTTATTATCCAAAATCATACTGTCAGAGAGGGCAGGACAGGTGAACAAGTTTATCATCTAAGTACTAGATGCGTATTTCAAACTCTGGTCAGAAAGCTTCCTCCTCCTCCTCCTTTTCCTCCTCCTCCTCCTGAAAACAACACCCTCTGATTTCCACCTGGAAGGTATTTTTTGATGGCAGATGAGCACTTTTGTGCATTCCAGGCCACACTCAAACAAAAGGGAGGTTTTCAACAATAACTATTACTTGCTTGAGATAAGTAACTTATATCCTTATTAAGAGCATTTGAAGTGCTTTGTTATGTTGCATTATCTACTGACTTAGCCATTATTTTTACCCTGGTTACAACTAGAAAAGAAGCTGTACCTCCCAGTGCAGACACAATGGCTTGATGTTCCACACAATGGCTTGAAGTTCAAAAGAACCCCTCAGTATTACTATTTTGTCTGCATTCTTCTCACAAAAGAACTCTGAACCATGCATTCCTTAGATTTCCATTTTCATGATTCCAAGGGACATCTTGAAACTCTCCCCTAATTAACTGTACATTTGTTGTTGCTTTTGCTCTGCTAATATAGCCTTCGTTCCTTTTCATTGCTCCTTCTGTTGCAATCATCACCTTCCGTCTCCTGCCCTGTTTATCCCTGTTTTTAAGTGGTCCTATCTAATTAGCCCTCATCTATTCTTATGAGTCAGTATCAATTATTGTTACTTAATCCAGTTTGGTGGGCAATCCAAATCTGTCAGGACCACAGTTTAAATGCTTTTTCATCCTTCCCTAAACATTACTGAAAAAGGGAGCCCTTTTTATTTCAATACACATTTTCACAAAGCAGGCCTTTTTTAGTCTCTGCAAAATACTTAAGGGATATTATTTAAATTTTGCATGGTCCATGGATGGCTTCCTTTGGTCATATACTGATTTGTTGTTAATATTGTTAAATAACTTATTTTATCAAGGTCATTCTATTTTCTCTTCTACCACCACTACTAATTTGGGGATCAATTATTTTAATATTATCAAGGGCTAATTTAACATACCCTCTTATACCCTTGTAGGAAGTTAGCACCCACCCCTTTCCTAGAGGAATGAAATATTTTGGGAAATATTAAAAAGGCAGAATATTATGTTTCCCTGGATGAGAAATGGAGAAGCATGTTTTAAAGACGAAGCAGCTCCCATCTTCCTGCCCCCACCCTTTATCAATGGGCCAGAGGCAGAAACTCAATCTTTGTCAATGGATCATCATCTGCAACACAATACGACCCATCTAGCAACAGAAACTAACACAATAGGACCTATCTAGCAACAGAAACTCACCACATGGCACCTGGGAAGATTACATCAGCCAGCAAGGCTAGCTAAGACCCCCACCCTCTGGGAGTCTGACAACCAATCAGGATACTCTTTCTGGGCCTCAGGAAGTTCAAAGCCAGAGAGGGCATAAAACCCGGGGACTCACTGCGTCTCGCCCCTTTTTCTGTTCAGGAACTCAAATCATGTGATCCTGTCTACCATTAAACCATCTTTCCAAGCAGTCTCCATGTTTCCAGTGTCTTTTTCCCTACTTGGGGCTGAACCCAGAAGGATATTTCTTCCTACACCGTCTTTTGGAGAACAGTTCATAAATGCTGCAGTTTATATTTAGTACTTGATAGGAGGTGAAAAAAGCAGGATTGCAACTTCATAGCCAAGTCAAGAAAAATAATCTTTATTTGGTTTTATTTATTTATTTATTTACCATATGGCATCTATAGAGGTCCTGCAATCACACATTTATTTGGTTAATGGCCAGCACAATTTCATAGCAGATATGCTATGCTACTTCTATACTATTTTTTTTTCCTTTTCAGAAAGTTTATTTTGTGTCAAAAAGTTCACAGCGCTGACTATCCAGTTGCATCCTACCTCCCTGGATTTGGAAACCTTACTAAGGGATACAACAAATATCTACGACCAAATTTTGGTGGTACGTCATTCCGGTGGTTTCAGTCAAATAAAACATTCATTTGTCCTTGTAGGGAAAAATTATTTTCTTACTTTTCTATAGTAAAATAACTTTAATGTTAGACTTTCGGGTGTGATTTGTTCCTAGCTAGACTATTAATCCTTGCCCATTCCTGTGCCATATGATTCATTTCAACAACTCTGTCTCAATTCTAATTTTAAAGTCAAGGAAGAACCTGGGAAAGTTGTTGAAATGAATGTTTCTATTGGCAAGAAGATTTTGATTCTGAATACATTCTGAATATAGAATACATTCTGAAAAATGTATTGCAGTCTAAATGCTCAGATCACCCCTCCGCTTAAAAAGTATTTTGAACTGATTGGCAACTGCAACTTTTGCAACCCCGGTGCTCCCAAATTGTTCGGACATCAAGTGCCATAATTTCCAGCCCATACAGCTGGGTAGCATCAGACTGGAGACAACTGGGCTAGATAGGGGAGCATCAGCACTTTAGTATGGGCAGGCTGGGTAAAGTTTTTAGAACCATCTTCCATAATCCTGACAATTTTTCTTAATGTGCACATATAACCAGATTATCTCTTGTTTGGGTTCAGTGGTTAAAAAAAAGAAAAGAACAAATGATGCCCATTTAATGCAAGTTCCTTTTGTCCTTAAATGGATACAGGATGAAGAATCAATACATTTGACCAGAAGTTTTATTAATGATTGCTCTTTAGGGATGGGAAGAACTTTATCTTTGCCTGACATTTAGGGCTCAATCCAGTTACCAATTCTCATTTCATTTCCCAACTCTCAGCTGTAGAGTCAGAAACATGTTTCTATAAGATTAGCAATAGCACTATAGCACTTATATACTGCTTCACAGTGTTTGCAGCAGTGGTGGGTTGCTCTTGGTTTGGCCCAGTTCAGCTGAGCCGGTAGCGGTGACACTATTACGTCACCGAACCAGTTCTCTTTCTTCGGGAGCTGGGCCCTCCCGCCCACCCCCGCGTTATCCCTACCTTATATTTCTTCTTTTTTCGCCCAGCTGAGAGGTGCGGCAGAGCGGATTACCGCACCTCAGCTGGACAGATTCGCAACGCGCTTGCGCAAAGTGCGTGACTGAAGAGGCAATCGCGCGCAAAGCGGGCGCATAAAGAGAACCGGTAGTAAAGCCGGTTAGAACCCATCCCTGGTTTGCAGCCCTCTCTAAGCGGTTTACAGAGTCAGCATATTGCCCCCAACAATCTGGGTCCTCATTTTACCAACCTTGGAAGGATGGAAGGCTGAATCAACCTTGAGCCTGGTGAGATTTGATCTGCCAAACTGCTGGCAGCCGGTGATCAGCAGAAGTAGCCTGCAGTACTGCACTCTAACCACTGCACCATCGCGGCTCATTCTGATTCTGATATTTATTCATGAAAATATGGCTTTGTGGAAGTTAACTTCGAGGTGTTCTGTGCACAGATAAACACATCCATGCATTAGGGCAATATACCTTTGGTCAATGTAAGGAGCCACATATTGATCTGTTGAGCTGCAGGGGATTATCAGGGAAAGTGAAATCATGGATATGGTTTAGATTACCTAAAGGAATTTCTATGTGCTAGGATGCTGCTTTTGGGCTCCCTTATTGTTCTTCTTGTTCCCTGATTTCCCACTGAAATCAGTGTCTGTTATTGGAGACGTGTGAGAAACATCTGCTGGGTTTCTATGCATCCAACAAGAAATATCATTTTGCTACTATAATGGAACCTTCTTTTCATTTCTTAGGAAAACCTGTGACAATAGCAATGACCCTTGATGTTGCAAGTATTTCCAGCATTTCAGAAAGTGATATGGTAAGCAAATAATCTCAGCCGCGCACGTAAGGAAATAGAATGCATAGTATACTACTGCAGCTTTGAGAATACAAAGTCCCTTAGACAGCTACCATTTTGCAATCCAGATTGACCCAGAATTAAGTTCCAGTGTGTTGCTCACTCTAGCAGTGGTGGGTTGCTCCCGGTTCGGCCGAGCCGGTAGTGGTGACACTATTACGTCACCGAACCGGTTCTCTTTCTTTGGGAGCTGGGCCCTCCCGCCCGCCCTTGCATTATTCCAACCTTATATTTCTTCTTTTTTCGCCCAGCTCAGAAGTGTGGCAGAGCGGATTGCCGCACCTCAGCTGGGCAGATTTGCAACACGCTTGCGCAAAGCGCGTGACCGAAGAGGCGATCGCGCGCAAAGCGTGCACACAGAGAACCAGTAGTAAAGCCGGTTAGAACACACCCCTGCTCTCTAGTAAGTGTACTTAGCACTGCAGAAGTTCAGCTTGAAAGTAATTTCATGGCGATCCTTTCTTATTATTTACATATATTCTAACTTTATCTCAATCTATTTATATAATCCAACAGCTCACCTTAAATGAGCTGTCAACAACGGAAAAATGATATGTATATATGTGTTGTTTGTTTTGTATTTGTTTTAATGTGTTTAAAATAAAACACTTAGAAAAGAAAAGAAAAGAAAAGAAAAGAAAAGAAAAGAAAAGAAAAGAAAAGAAAAGAAAAGAAAGTAATTTCATGGCTTTAACAAAAAATTTTTAATTCCCTCCTTTAAAAAAAAATAATATTGGGCATTTGTATCAGTGGTAGAGAGCATTTAAGTGAATTGGGTTAGAATAACAGAGTTGGAAGGGACTTTGGAGGTCTTCTAGTCCAAGGTTTTGCTTCACGTTCTGGATCTGAGAATCACACTTCATTCTATCGTGAGGAACCTTTCCCCCCACCTCACATCTCAGTGGAATTGATGTATATTCAGAGTGGAGGTTGTGATGTAACAGGTCAGGTAAAACAATTGGCTAAAGCCTCTCAATTGTCTGAAGAACTGCTACTGATTAATTATGCATGAGATTTTATTTTTTACAGTTTCATAATACAGGAACACTGGGATATCAGTGTTGCTTTAGGGCTCAGTCCTAAAGCTGTTGCTACAGCCCCTCTAGCTGTATCATGATGACGATTCACTAGCCATTCTTGAGGGACATATCTGCATCTCCTTTGTCTCATCCCCAGCCCACGGCTGAAGCCACACAACTTTCCCTTTAGCTGATTCAGTGTTAAAGTGTTGTCTTCTCTCTCCTTCTAGCACAAGCCCTGCCACATTCATTATTGTGTGTTTAGTAATAACCAGGGGGTGATTATTCAGAAGTCGGCATCTTCTTGGCTCTACTGGGCTGTTACAAGCACTCTCCCGCCCCTCTCAGGCTGGTGATTTCCCTCTATAACTGTTTTAATTTCAGCAGCAGATGCAACAGGCACTAAGTACAGCTTGGGCATTAAATGGGCACTTTTGTTAAGACAAAGAGATCAGTCATGGGGTGGGTGGGGGTTGCACCACCTGATCTGCAAATGGGAGCTCCCTGAAAAAAAGCAAGTGAGGCAGAGATTCTCATCTATTCATGGATTAATTTTTTTTATCTCTCTCAACTCCCCGCTCCCTCCCTCCATGCCAGGAAGGTGATTGGAAAATGTACTGATCGCTTTCCGTAACTTTTTAATTGTTCTCTATTCAACTATATGTTAACTATTCTCACAAGGAGAATAGAAATAGGCTGCGAGGAAAGATATTTTATTGCTTTATTGCTGACTCATGGACCAGAGGAAAACAAATGAAGATGTCCTCTTAAGAAGAGGTGTGCTCTACCTGCTTCCTTAGCCCGGGGGATATGACTTCTTCTATTCTTTTTCTGCATAACACTGGTTTAGTCATATACCAATTTATTATATACAATCAATCATGAAAACCTCATCCATGAAGCATTATGTTGTTTAGTGAAAACCTTAATTGAAATATGTCATGCATATTTGGTGTCAACATTAAGACTCAGGAAGGAAAGGTTTTTTCCGCCCCAAGTCTGTTTCATGGGAGTATCTTACAGTTACCTTTCATCCTACTTCTTCTACGTTTGTTTGTGAAGCTGCTGTTATTGTCACTAATTTGCAGTTTTACCATGATTTCATTGCTAATTTGTTTACGATTTAGTTTGAAGTGTGTGACATCCAGAGCAGAACAGTTCCATGAAGCAAAAATGGTCAACCCTTTCAGGTTTGAAATGTTGAAATGCATCTTCTTAAAGAGGAGGCTGACACATATATTGGAAGAATCCAGAGCCAATAGCCTTGCCCTTAAAACACCACATTTTCCAGCCTAAAGACAGCGCCAAGTAGAAAGGTGTGATCTAATGAGGTTTTTGAATGTACAGGTAACATTAGATAGCTTGACATAATCTTTCACGAAGCTAACTTTTCTGATATACCAAAGCTATTAATCAACAAATGTTTTCTGCATCCACTAGTGATTCTCATTGTATATCATGTGCATTGTCTAGGTCTCATGTGGAACATTATATAAATGTGTTCTAGGTCTAGATAAATAATTGAGGTATAAATGGCTCGGGGGGGTTCACCTTCATTGCAGGGCTTAATAATTCATTGCTTTGAAATGCATAACGTTGAATCCTCTCAGTCATTTAGGTGAACATGTTTTCTTTCTCACAGAACCAAGATAAAATCTGGAAAGTAGCAAAAGTCCACATGCTGAATGCTTTTTTTATGCAGACATATATATAATGTGTGTGTGTATATGTGCATGAGTGGGTATGTACATGAGTGTAGATACCATACCATAACATTGACATTTTAAAAATTATAATTGATTTTTTCTCAAAATCCTTATAATTAGTAGTGGTTATTTACAGGTTTATGTATAAATATTTGTGACTATTACCTAATAAAGTACCATTTTAATATTTTATTCATGTTTTGTGGTACTTAGTGTTGCATGAAATTTTGGTTTATGACCATAGACAAATATTATTTTTGTATAAAATATTATTTTTGTATAAAATCTGTACAAAAGCAATTGTACAGTGAAGGAAGTATTAAAGGAAAAACCTAACCAAAACTATATGTAAACAAACAGAAACAAAACAGAAAAGAAAAATAATAATATATTCAAAAGAAACAAAAGGAGATTAACCAAAAAAATTCAATAAATAAAAATATAAAACAAATTGTCATAGGTATTCTACAATTTTAAACCCTTAATTCATACAAAGTAATCCATACACATCATTAAAATTCCATTTTCAAACAATAATTTGATCCTAGATCATAAACCTGTAAAACAATCTAGTGAATTTTTTCAGCCAGTACTTACGTAAAATAAAACTTGATATTTGAATGTTTCATATCTGACTTGACATATTACGACCTAAAAATGTAGGCAGAGAAAAAGATTCACCCACACCCAGATTGTATCTGCCTGAAAGGTATGAATTTAAACAATTTTGGGTAGTTACGCAATGGCCTGGAACAGTACATGTGAAACTCTTAGCCCACTAAAACCTGTTTTTTAAACAGAATCTGCATAATTATCTATCAGGGCTGTTGCAATGATTCCTATAGAATGCAAGCAGTTATGCCCTTTCCAACTCTATGATCCTATGGACAGAAAAAAGAAAGAAAGAAAGACTATAGAGCAATTTGAGAACTACATGGTTCAGCATGGGTACCTATCAGGGGTGAAATCCAATTTTTTTCCCTACCGGTTCTGTGGGCGTGGCTTGGTGGGTGTGGCAGGGGAAGGATATTGCAAAATCTCCATTCCCACCCCGTTCTGGGGCCAGCCAGGGGTGGTATTTGCCGGTTCTCTGAACTACTCTAAATTTCCACTACCGGTTCTCCAGAACCTGTCAGAACCTGCTGGATTTCACCCCTGGTACCTATAAATAGTGCTTATTAAGACAAGAGCCAGAATTTGTTAAATATTAAGTGTTAATTTTGGAGAAAATGGTGAAACCATTACTTTTTGAAAGACCTTGTTTGGTAAATTGTATTTAAATTACAAAAATTATAGTCTTGATTTTCATGATTCATCATCCTTCTAGGACTATACTGCAACGATATATTTGCGACAACGCTGGACCGATCCCCGTCTGGTTTTTCAGGGAAACCGAAGTTTTACTCTGGACGCCCGGCTGGTGAAATATCTGTGGGTACCTGACACATATATTGTGGAGTCAAAAAGGTCTTTCTTACATGAAGTTACAGTAGAGAATCGGCTTATACGGTTGTTCTCCAATGGGACAGTCTTGTATGCTTTGCGGTAAGTCTTGCTTGCCTTCTGATACACCACTTTTGCACAAGGGTCAATAAACTGATGTTTAGTCCAATAAGATGAAGATACAGTTGGAGAACGGGTGGGCTGGTTGGAAAAGTGTGGTTCAACTAAGTTTGAAAGGGGCTAATCTTCCCCTAAAGCAGTGATGGCTAACCTTTTCTGGACTGAATGCCCAAAGCGTGTGCGCGCGTCCGAATCCCAAAATGCAATTCGCGCACAACCGCCATGCATAAGCCCCAGCCCCCACGCATGTGTGCATGCCCCCACACATGCGCCCCACTCCCCCGCACAGAGACCCGAAGACCAGCTGGCCAGTGGGAGGCGAGTGCGCATGCGCAGCAGAGCTGAACTGGGACGACGGCTCGCATGGCATCAGAGAGGGCGCTGCGTGCCACCTCTGGCACGCATGCCATAGGTTTGCCATCACGGCCCTAAAGGATCAAGTTTGAAGCTCCATCTTTGATATTAGAACTACAATGTTCTTTTACATGGAGTGCTTTGTAACAGCTCAGGCTGGCATGTTGGCATACAGGTCCTACCTGGGTAAAGATAGCTTGATTTCCATGATCTTATTACATCTTCTCATCTAGATTACTGCAGTCAGTACTAGTGATGACAAACCTTTTGGGGCTCAGCATGTCAAAAACTCCTAACTTGATTCTTCCACCCACCCACTACACCCCCAAATAAAAAAGAAGTAATTCATATTCATTTTTATATAAAAATATGGTCCAACCATGTGCATGATCTCCAGGATCTGCTGTGTGGCACTTAGGTGAAGGCTGCACCCTATTCTCGCAGAACCTCAGCAGTTTGTGTCTAATGGAGTAATATCTGGTTCCTCTTATTTTTGTAAGTGAAGCTATTGTAGACGCACACTAACCACCAAAGAAAAGTCCCAAAGGTGCTTTTTCGAAAAGGCAACTGGACTCTTGTTTGTTTGTTTTTTTCTTTGAAAATGTTTTGCTTCTCATCCAAGAAGTTTCTTCAGTTCTAATTTAGAACTGAAGACGCTTCTTGGGTGAAAAGTGAAATGTTTTCAAAGAAAAACAAAGAAAGTCCAGTTGTCTTTTGGAAAAAGCATTTTTGGGACAACCATGACCTGGATGATTGAGAAACTCCATAGACATCAATGCTTAATTTGCAGCCACTGTAAGTATTAACAGTTGCTTAATCTTTAAAGCAGAAACATTGCCATCTAGGGGCTGCTATGAAGAATACAGATGCCCCATAATAAATACTTATGTGGTTTCTCTCCTTTTGCAGAATCACCACCACTGTTGCATGTAACATGGATCTGTCCAAATATCCACTGGATACACAGACTTGTAAACTGCAGATGGAAAGCTGTAAGTATGTCACTCAAGAGGAAAGTGAACATTTTTTCCTCCTATTTGGTCTGAGTTGCTTAATGCATAATTAGATTACCAATTTGAACATCTCATTTGTATTTTTGACTGTAAAGGTTTCTACTTATCCTTTTAATTATGGAATCATTTAATTCATGCTAATGTTACAGAAAAACATGGGAAGAGCAGTGCCATATTCAGCTAGACAGTCCAACATCTCAACTTTACACCAATCTTTATGCATTCAACATTCACCCCAGCGACAACACATCACACAAGCCATTTCATGGGCTCCATCCCGCTCTGGGTTCCCCAGGCCCGCTGGCAGAACCTTCCAGTGCCTTCCGGAAGAGTGTTAGAGTGGGGCATTTGCTGATATCTACCTAAAAATAAGCTAAATTGGGGGGGGGGTGTTGCCTCTTTTGTTTTGCATCATTCCATATTTTTCAGCTTCTTGAAGTCTTGGAAGCCTCTTTCAGAAAATGTGACAGACGTGGCACTAGACTTCCATCCTCAGAGTGACATTTCTTGACTTTGGATGAGGGCATTCAATAGAATTTTACTATCATTGTTACAGTTTTACAAAACACGGCCTTGTAATAGTTCTTGTTCAGAGCTACTATTATGGGAGCGGGTTCTCTAGAATTGCCACCACAGCATTTTGGGATATAATGAAGAGCATTGATTGATGCTGAAAATTAAAAAAGCCTTCTGCTTCTATAATATACTGGTTTGAAAGATGTCTTCCATTTCAGTCAAATAATCCTCATGTGGTCAGCATCAATGTAACACTCATGACCCATTGCAGGATCTGCAATTGAAACAAAACAGCAAGTAAGAAAGTAAGGAAATATCCTAAGGAATTCAAGTGTAATGAAGGAAATTTTGTCAAATTTATCAAACTAACTCAACAATTGTTAAAGGTAAAAGGAAGGTTAGGCAAATGAGCAGTCACCATTCTTGGAGGGGCTTCAAACCATCATATATTTCTATTTATCAATTGACCTCCTACTTTGACATAGTTAATTAGTAGTTCAGTTAGGGTTCAGCTCAGACAGTAATTTGGACGTGACTTCAATTAATGTAAATGAAGCGGGCTCTGATAGATGACCACTGGATAACTTTCTATTCACTCTATTCTAAAAAGCAATGCATCCGGTTGGAAAAAGTACAAACTCAGCCAAAATCCTTTTGGTTCCTCTAGGAGGCCTCTAAGTTGTCAGAAGAAAGGAACATTCTAATGACATACAGCTTAAAGGTTAGTTAGGTCAAGGGGATCCACATGAGTTAAAAGTTGTCTATCGTCAGAAGATGATTTGAGTCTATGCTTCAGTAATGTACAAAAAGAATTATAACTGTTTTGCAAAGAAACTCAGTAATTAGGAAATGTCAATTAAAAATGACAAATGTATATGACCATATGAATTGCTGAGTTAACAGAATCCTTTGTCTAGAAGGGTATAAAACCATTGTACCTAATTTCTGTCTTTGTTCAACGCTTCATGTACAGAGCTTTGAACCTATTGCGCAATATATAAATTGTCTCTGATTAATCCAAAAGTTGTGTTTGTCTTATTAAATCCACAACACAATGATGGATTGGGACATTTCTGTGACCTCTGTCTCAGGTGAGGTACAGGATAAATTTATTCCTTGTAAATCCTTCTAAAAACAGATTTAACGTCATTTGGGATCAAATATAAGGGTACCAAAGATCTTTAAAGATCTTTTCTATTTTCTATTTCATCTATTTCCAGATTCACAGCATTTGTTGTACTTGAGCTATACTGAATGACCCTTATTGACAGAAGTGATACATACTCAGTATCGGAGCTAGATTAGAACTTCTAGTCATCAGAACACTGGTTAGCATCGATCTAAAGCAACTTCTCATGATTTGGGGAGTTTTGAAGACCTTTAACCCACTTTACTATGGCATTTTTAAAAAAATCTGAACAAGGAAGATGGAACAAAATCTTGTCAACTTGTACTTTAACCTGAGAAATTTCAAACTTGATGCATGTGCAAAAACATTTCCTTAGTAGGTAGCTACCTATCTGAGAGGGAAAGCATCTTAGGAAATAGCAATAGCTCTTAAATTTATATACTGCTTCATAGTGCTTTACAGCCCTGTCTAAACAGTTTACAGAGTCAGCCTATTTCCCCCAACAATCTGGGTCTTCATTTTACGGATCTCAGAAGGATGGACAGCTGAGTCAATGTTGAGCCTCGTCAGGACTGATGCCTGCAATACTGCATTCTAACCACTGCGCCACCAGGGCCCTTAATCAGTTCGATCAACATCCAGAAAAAAAATGTACAAGTGACTATTAAATTGATTTATTATCTGACAGATTTTCTGTCACTGGACTGTGTCTGAAATTAAATCACTTGAAATATATTACAGCATAATGCCACAAATTTTGCTCCAGAGAAGGCTATAGATCCTGACCAGGGGTGGGCTTCAAAAATTTTAGCAAGGGGTTCTCTTCACCCAGTTGCTGGGTGGTTAGTGGCCACGGTGGGTGTGGACTAGTTTGCCTCCTGCACCACGGTGGGAGGCGTTGCCCTCCCCGGGCTCTGGAGGCTTTTTTTGAGCCTCCGGGAGGGCGAAACGGCTTCTCCAGGCTCCGGAGGCTCTCTGGAGGCTGGAAACAGGCCCGTTTCTGGCCTTCCTGGACTTCCGGTAGGTCTGTTTTTGTCCTCCCCAAGCCTCCGTACGCCTGCACATACCTGCATCCAAAACAGGCCACGTGGGGACTCCTGGGAGGGGCGGGTTGGGGTGGGTGGAGCCAGCCAGGAGTGGGATTTAGGAGTTCTTTGAACTGCATAGAATCTTAGCTACAGGTAACCCTAAACCTAACCCTAACCCCTGTGAACCCCCAGCAGCCCACCCCTGATCCTGACCCCTAAACAACCCTATTCTTCTGCTGGTCTAGACTCTAGATCAGGGGTGTCAAACTCGATTTCATTGAGGGCTGCATCAGGGTTGTATTTTACCTTGGAGGGCCAGGGGTTGGCCGTGGCCGGGGTGGGCATTTGACACAGGGTCAAGATGCATTTTTTCCCCTTCTTTTCTTTCTTTCCACAGTTCGTTACTATAACGATTTTCCTATCTCTTCTACCAGCTATTACTGGTAAACATTTATTACTTATTCTTCATACTCCACTAAACCTTTCATTTCTAAATTTATACCACATTGTTTAATAGAAAATTGCTTTTCCAGGCAGAAAAGCTATTTATATTATTGAATTTTCATTATTCAACTAATAATAAAAATAAAATAGCATAAATAACATGATAATACAAAATCTAATAGCAGAGATAAATTTCCAGGATAGTAAATAGAAATGGCTGTCAATTATAGATTCTTGATTGTAGATTAAATGGGTCTACAGTATGTAAAATCTGGCATTAAATTGTAGCATTAACATAGGATGTTGCTTGTTTTCTATCCAGATCAGGCACTTACTTGAGGCCACATCATTGTAATCCAGTCCAATTCAGTCTTCCTGCAGCACTCTGCCGGCCGAAAACGGACCTCATGGAGGCCCCACGCGGCCCATTTTTGGTTGGCAGAGTGCTGTTGGAGGACAGGAAGGCCGAAAATGGGCTGCAAGTCTGTCCCTTGATATTTCCAGGCCGGAAATATCACTTGGATCTGGCCCCCAGTCCTTGAGTTTGACACTCCTGCTCTAGATATATTATTTATACCATTTCGGATAACAACGTTACAGCTAAATTTAAATCAGGTTTGCTTGAACATTGTCTGTCTGTCTGTCTGTCTGTCTGTCTGTCTGCCTGCCTGCCTGCCTGCCTGCCTGCCTGCCTGCCTGCCTATCTATCTATCTGTCTATCATCTATGTATCGCTTTCTATCCTGATCCTTAATAGCTTTATTTGTTACATGCCATCTTTTCACCTAAGGGATTTTTTTTTAGCACATTTCATCTGAGTAGTATGGTTTTCCAACTTTGCTACCACCTTTGTGACTTTGCCACTAATTTTTCCTCTTTAAATATGTCCAAAAGAGGTGGCATTTTCCTCTCTTATTTTGCATCTATTGCAGCCTTTCACATATGGAATGGAAATATTTTCTCATCCTCTTCTCAGATAGTTTCTTAAAGGAGTTGACAATGTATTCTACTTCCTTTCTGACATTTTCTCAGTGCTTGTTGTTTGGACACACACATGAAGGCTGAAGACTTTTCTCTTTGTTCTTCTCTGTAACAAGTTCAATAATGACTTAAATCTCATTATATGAAGGCCAATTTTTAGTTCTCAGCTACTAGAGTGAAGTTCCAATGGAAGTCACTATTATATTCACATTAAAATCCTATTAGTTTGTGTTAAATAGCGGGCGGTTGAAGAAAGGACTCGATACAAAGTATAATATCAATGCTTTATTTAAGCTCCGTAACAGCAATGGCAACTCCAGCCGCGGCAGCCCTTTATAAGCAGAAGCTGTCCGTGGCTTCAGCCACTGACGTTTCTCTAAATTTCCCGCTCTCAGAATTTATTCCTGATTGGCTCATTTAAACTGTCACTTAATACTCAACACCCCTCCCCCCTAGTTCAGCGTCCACCAATCCGGTGACTCCTAGGCTACGTAGTCACATAAGTAGGCGGGTCGCTTTGGAGCTCGACTGGACCTGCACAGTTCAGTCGTTCCAGCGTTCTCGGAGTGAGAGGTTGAGTTCCGTTGCTCTCCTGGAGTCAGCTCTGGAACTCTCTCGAACTCAGATGCCAGAGTGGATTTATTCTGCTCATCTTCTTTTTCCGCTTCACTCGGCTGTCCTCGCAGGTTTTCTCCAGCAATCGGTTCTTCCTCCTGGATCTCAGGTAAGTATTCGCTGTTCTCCTCTGGGTTTAAGTTTGTACTCCCCTGCACTAGTGCTTGTGGTACGGTCCGATCTGCTGTTGTCTGCTTGTCTTTCCCTTTCTCCTGGTTGTTATTTTGTAGTTCACTCTCAATTCTCGTTAGTCTTCCTCTGATCTGG